GTATGAGCAGGGGCGTTATCGCGGTGCAAAAGCCAATTTTTGTTCTTCCAAAAACCCGGGCATTTCTGTGGCAAGAACTCATGATGCACCACGCTCCTGCAATCGAAGAAAACTGTCAGCAAAACTTTAATTAAAAATGAAAAATCGACTACCATCCAAAATACGTGCAAGCAAGGCAGCTGTCAACAATTAAGTGAACATTCAAAATGTCCGAGCTTGTCGGCATAAGTGACAGACATGAGTACGAACATAACGCTACAAAAAAATCGAAATTCGATTATGCGTAACCCGCGAAAATTCAAAATTCACGATACTTTTTGAACACACCTCGTACTTATATAATACATTACGAAAATTAAATAAATAAAAATCGGTTTTTGGAAAATTCTAACTACATGTAACCCCTTAATCGGTTTAAATTATTTCGATTATTATTATTATGAAAACCAGAAGCAAGTAGACTAAACGTTTCAAATCACTATCATCCAAGATACTCAAACATATCCCTGATGGGAAAAATATTAGTTGATGGAATCCAATTATTTTGAATTTTTGCCCTAATTAGTTGATCTTCCTTCTATTCTCTCATGTAAGCAACTGATGTAAATATGTACGTGGCTGTGACCTACTCACTGTCCATTATCCGACTATGTATCAACTTCATACTTGTAAAATACTAGTTCATATAGGTATGGGAAATTTAAAAAATTACTATTTAACAAGATATTTCATTGAAATTTAATGGTATCCACCTGCTTTTTGATGGGAAATAAATACCGTCCGGTTTAAGAAATGGCTTGAATAGTATTATGAGAAATCTACTTCACCACAAACAGCAATAAAAAGTTGGTTTGCTGATCCTGATCCTGATTTTGACGGGATAGTCCCGCTTCAGTCAAATTAATCACCATCAGGACTTGGATCAAGAATCGGACCATAAAGTGGATGCACAAGAACATCCCAATCAAGCTCTCTGAATTTCTAACGAGTCCCAATCGATGTGTAAGGACTGGCGCTGTCTTGATGAAACACAATTTAATTTAATTTTAAAGCATCATTGGACAGTGCATCGCTATGTCTGAATTTTTTGTCTCCGCAAGACTTATATAATTGGCGCTTAGTTAACGCTGAGGCGATTTTCTGCCGAATTCCTCCTTGAATTTGTGGTTTTACGTCTTGATGCTTTTCCAACAACAACAAATGGAGGGACCTGCAGTTTATACTAAGTCACCTCGGAGGGGTTGGCAATCCCTACCGAGGGGCGACCGCAATTAGATAATTTAGCTTAATTTTTTATTTCAATTAATTTTCTGTAACTTTTAGATGTTGGCCGCACGTGGATTTGAACCCGAGCCCTTTAAATGGCAGTAGGAAATGCTACCACTTGGCCACCGCGGCCGCCAAACTTATATAGCTATGTAAGCTGACGCTAGACATCACCAGAAGTGCAGCCAGAATTGGGGAGGTCCTCTCCGAGCCCTTCGCTACCAAACGACCTTGCTGACAGAGTTCGTCTTTATCGTGTGATTTCTTCAATTCGATGGAGAAAATAATAAAAGCAACAAAACTAAACAGAGAAGGCACAGTCTTGTAACGATGATATTGATATTATTTGTCTCAACAACCGCGCCGTTACCTCTGCTTTCTCCAGACTTTATAAAGAAAAGAAGCGAATGGGTCTGGTATTGAAGGAGAACAAGACGAAATATCTCCTATCGTCAAACAAACAGTCATAACTTCGAGTTCGTAAATAACTAACTAGGAACCAGCATCAACACCAATAAATAAATCCAACGCAGAATCACTCTTCCCAAAAGGTGCTACTTTGGGCTGAGCAGGCGATTGAAAAGTACAGTCCTCTCTCGACGAACACAAACCAAACTCTACAAATCGCTCATCGATCCAATCATACTATATAGCGCAGAAGTGTGGACGATGTTAACAGCTGATAAGTCGGCTTTAGGAATTATGGAGAGAAATGTTTTCCGAAAGATAAACGGTCTTCTACGAGTTAGTAACGGCACAAAGTTCAGCGAATCAAGAGACAACGACTACGCTGGTTAGGTCATGCGATTTGGATGGATAATAGTACTCCAGCTTTGAAGGTTTTCGATGAAATACTCACCGGTGGAAGCAGAGGAAGAGAAAGGCCTCTTTTCCTTTGTAAGGACCAGACATCTTCAATTGGCGTCCAACAGCGAAAAACACAAGCGATTGTTATAAATTATTATTGAGAATCCATTTCGCCTGACAACGCCCAGAAAAAATTGGCTCAAGTACAAGAAATATCATATCACCCACATGTAAATGGAAACTGAAGTAATATAGATATAGAAGACAATATTAGCTTATTCAACTGCTTGCTTCAACAGCGGCCTCTGTAGCAACTCCAAAATCCACAGAAAGTTTCCGAAGTACAAAACGAACCACCAACAACTTAATTAAGCGCCTGGTAATCGAAAAGCACAGTCGATCCCCCTCATCTAAAATAAAACTAAAAGCTGCTGAGAAGCCCCTGAGCGGAGCATTAAAGTCTGAAGAAGAGCCGCAGCTAAAGATATTTATATTTACTTTGACGCCGAATTCTTTACAAAGGAATTCACTATGGAAGGCGAAAAAGAACTTTAAGCCACCAGTAGAAATTGAGAGACCGCTCAGACAGAGTCATAGTAAAAACATTAAATTTCAAAGAGTCGCCCGGTTACGACTCCACAAATGCTGATAGAGCTACCAAATATTGCTTACAATTTCTTGTCCCAACTTTTTAATGCCATCTATCAACTTGGATATTTTCCGAATGCGTGGTAAAAGTCGCAGATCATGATGATAGCCAAACCCAAAAAGGCGCAACGTTGCCCTCATTATATCGGACAATTAGCAGGTTGCCCGTTCTTTTCAAACTTTTTGAAAAAGGGCTGCTATCCAAGATATCTCCTTTTCTCCACGAATACGAAACTATACCAAACCAGCAATCTGGTTTTCGCGAAAAACATGCGACGTCCGCAAAGGTATTTACTAACTTCAACATTCGCAGACGACACCGCTATTTGCTGTCGGAGCAAGTGCCTAATAAAAGACTCCAACATACTAAAAAATCACTTAAAACTCGTTGAAAAATGGCTGTCAAACTGGCACATAAAAGTGAGCGAGCAAAAGTGTAAGCATGTCACATTCCCTCTGAAGACAGAAACATGCCCAATACTGAAACTAAACGTCGTAATGGTCCCTCAAGCGAGCGAAATTAAATACCTCGGCATCCACCTAGATAGGCGACTTACCTAGAAGAGTCATATTTCTGCAAAAATACAGCGCCTCAAACTTAAAACCGCCCTAAATTGGTTACTGTGTAAAAATTCAGTATAAAGCTTGAATCATAAAATCCTTCTATATAATTCTGTCATAAAGCCAATACGGATGTACGGAGTACGATTGTGGGGTTCTGCCTGCATAACTAGTGTCCACAAAATACAGCGATTCCAATCAAAAATGCTACGAAACCTTACAACGAAAACATACCTGGAGACCTTTAAGTACCAATGGTAGATACAGAAGTGGCAAACACCTGGCAAAAATACCTGTCGAAACCGCAAAATCAACCGAATCCTCTAGCAAACGTTTTATTCTGCCCAGCAAGTCGAACTCGCTTTCCGAGAAGGGATCTGCCAGTATTTTGAAGAGTAAAGTTTTACCTGACATCCATTGCTATTAATGGACTAAAGTAGTAATTTATTAGTTATTAAGATTCTTAAACTTATTGTTAGGCTTAAATTAAGCAGATTCAATAAATAAATCTATTTGACGTGTAAGAAATAAAATAAATTCGACTATAATCGCGTAAATCGAACGCTTTGTCTAAATGAAAATGTGGTCACTTTACAATAGCACCAAAAATATCAAATAAATCATCTGGGACTTTTCATCTCATGTATTAAATTAAATTAATGAAAGTTAATTAAAATTGTCGTGAGAAGAAAAAGATTTTACCGTTCAACCCAGATTTCCAAATCAGTCAGTAGTGAATGCATTCTGTCCTCTCTATTCCATTTGTGAATATGCGACTTTATGAAGGATTACTATAGAAAGCTCTAATTGTGGTAATTATGACAATTCACGAATTATTTTTTAAAATTACATAACTATATCCATGTTCATAATTATTCCGCTCCTAGAAACGATTATCATAATTGCACGACATATTATTGGATTAAGAAATTTCCAACTCAGCTATGTAAAATACGCCGTCAACTTTTTACTCTGCTATAAGTTTACATTTACAATTGCAGATTAAATAAAGATAAAAATAATTGCTAATTTGATTTTATCATTTTAACAAGTTTAACTACTTATTTTCAATTCAAAAAAAAATAAAAAATAAAACATTTTATAGCATAACTTTCTACCTTCACCTGAAAACTCTCTACGGCAGTCAGTACAAAAGTACCACAAAATTGATTAAATCAACAAGCAAAAATAAATCATAAGAAATGCGACCAGAGTGTGGCAACAACAACGACCACACCTACTGAACTTATGCAAAAGTATGCGCAATACTTCGCGAGTAAATCCTTGTGCAGCTCTAAAACTAGGTTGCCAACTCCACTTTCGCAAATTTGCGTCCTAGTCCCATAGCGCAACACATCACCCTCCGCCATTCGCACCACGCTGCTATCAGAGACAACAGTGAGCGTGTAGTTTTTTTTTCTACCCGCCCACAGCAGACAGTAAACTCCGTTCCAAATTATATTAAATCGTTGCTCCAATAATAAACTTAAGCCACCTGATTGGTGCGGCCGCCATGGCAACAAGTAGACAACTTGTTCTACATTATGCGCGCACCATGTGCCAGCGATAGTATGCCAAACTTCAATCCATTCCGATGTAAGTCCCATAATTCAGTTGGCATCGATTTTCTTAGCGCGCGGCACGCGTACGTGGCAGCGGTTTTGATTGTTTGAGCTCAGTACTGGTGGCCGGACGTGTTTGTTTGTGTACTGTGGGAAATGCATGACAAACCATGTGAAAATGTCAACGACAAAAATCAAACTACCGCGGAAAAGCAAATTCCAGCAGTTGAAAAACTAAAAAACACACCTGTGCCTTTGCCAATAGCCAAACCAACGCCGGGAAAATCAACAGAAGCCGGTTTGTTAGAGAAGTCTTCAAATGGCATTGCAATCAAATCGCCCATCATAACTGCGGAAGCGTCAACTGCCACAGGCGCTGCCAGCAACACTACCAGTGCAAATGCCACATCAACTGCCAAATTATCTACTGCCACAATCACTACTGCTACCGGTAAGGAGATAATACCAAGCGCTCCGCCCAGTAATTATTGCAATCGGCGCACTTGGATCACCACTGAACGTCTAAATGAGTTGCGTCGTCGCGCACAAGAAGCGGTCAAACAGAATAAAACCTTCACCATACGCGGCTCCTTTCACTCAGTGCGCAACGCACTCGTCGCACGCGGTTGGATCGAAAAGTTGGATGTGCATCGCAAACAAATTCCAACGGGCGTCTGTCAAGTGACTTACGATGATTTGGCACAGGGTCTACCTAAACGCAAGGCAGGCGAGACGCGTCGCCAGTATATTGCTAAGTGTGAACGTAACATTATGTCACGCTTCCTCGAACACATGCCTATCGACTTCTTGTGGACGAATCGTAAAGAAAAATGTGATTATATAGATCAGGCGAAAAATCCGGGCATGATAATTAACAAGTTCCATCGTGCGCCATTCACTTCGAAGGAGGGTTTGTGTGCTCAGTTGAAAGACTTTCATTGGTTTTACGAGGAGGGCATGTCTGAGTTGTATTTTCCACGTTGTTATAATGTCTGGAGCCTTGAAGAGTTGGCCGAGTTCATGGATAATTTCAAGCTTACCGCCTGCATAGCATTCATACGTTTGGTTGTTGATCGCTATCGCAGAAAAGGACTCGACTCAGTCTTTTCCACAATGGGCACAGTGCCATATGGCAGTGTGGATTTCGCTATTAAGCGAACCAGTGATTTCTTGGATAGTTGTCAGCATAAGGATATCGATTTGGATGAGTTGTCGCGAGTGTGGGAACATGAGTGGGATGTATTCTTTCATCAACATCAGCAAGTCGTTACGGAGGAGGCGAAAATTTTTACTGAACCCACACGTGCACCAGATTTCACCATCAAATTGTGCATACAACTTTTGGAGAATTTACAAGCTTATTGGCCTCAATACACACTGGATGGCTATCAGAATTTATGGATCGTCAAGCCGGCGAATAAATGTCGTGGACGTGGTATACAGTTGATGGATAATTTGAAGAAAATCTTAGTGCTTGTAAATCCATCGATCGGTTCGAAGAGTCGTTATGTGGTGCAGAAGTATATTGGTAAGTCGTAACTCATTCGGGAGTTATTTCTGCTAAGACTCGTCCTAATGACTGTGCCTATCATTGTGCTGTGAAAGGGTGTTTTAGGAAAGTTTAGTGTATAAACGGTGTTTAGAATAGAATAGATGGGGCATCAAAAGCTCTATGAGGAAGATGATAAGGTGCGAATAAAATCCTGAACCCAAATGTGATACAACTATAAAAAGTCGCAACCACCTCTCCTCCACCCATTACCAATAATTTATAGATCACTTCAAAAATTTTGGAGATAAAGATCTCTCTACCAAAATCAAATCAATCAGTATATACGACTTCGATAGGTTAATATGAGATATTCGTCAAGTAGAAGCCCTTTGACTGTGTTACGTGATAGCATAATCACTTAGGTCTTGCCTCTTTTTCTTCAATAACTATGGAAAAGAGTCACATTAATCAAGAGATACACCGCCTCAGTCGGGTATAGACTAGGCTCTATAATTGTATCTGAGAAAAGGTAAATCTATAACTATATATATATATATATATATTCTTTTTCTTCCTCATCTTCTTTACTGGCGTAGACACCGCTTGCGAGTTTATTTCCGAATTTAAACCATTGCGCTTTCTTTTTTTTCGCTGTTTGGCGCCAAATGAAGATGAAAGTGGAGTCCTTTCCCTTCCTCTGCTTCCACTGGTACTGCATCTAAAACTTTCAAAGCTTTCAAAGCGCAACCGCTGTTTCTTGAACTATGTCAATGTTGCCCTATATCTCATACAGCTCATCATACCATCGGCTACGGTATTTGCCGTTCCCAACTAGTAGAGGACCATAAATCTTACGCAAACCTTCAAAACGAAAACTCTTATCGTCGATTCATCAGATGTTGCCATATAGTAAAACAGGAACGATAAGCGACCTGAAGAGTTCGGTTTTCGTTCGACGTAGAGAGGACTTTACTTTTCAATTGCGTATTCAGTCCGAAGAAATTCCTGTTGGAAAGATTGATTCTGCGTTGGATTTGTTGTTGGTGTTAAGGTTAAGACTGATTAAGACATAGCGGCATAAAAGCAGTTCCCATTCGTGCTATCGAAGGCTGCTTTAAAAGCGGCGATGAGGTGGTGTGTGTCGATCCTTTTTTCACGGGTATTTTCCAAGATTTGGCGCAAGGTGAATATTTGGTCAATAGTTGAAAGGTCTTAAGCCACACTGATAAGGTTCAATCAGTTTGTTGACGATGGGCTTTAGTCTTTCACATAATACGCTCGGAAGGAGCTTAAATGTGATATGTTTGGCGCCAGCATGCCATGTTTGGGGTCCTTTTTTAATGGATTAGGGGGCGAATTAAAAAACGGACTGTAATCTGGCTTACTTTGCATGAACAGGCATTACCACAAGACTTTAGTGGAACCCTTAATTGAGTTTTCAACAGGAACTCCAAAGAGACTTCCCTTCCCAGCTTAATACAATGCTTCCCACCGGCAACAACAGGGCTTAGGAAATCACATTATGTGATAACACAACAGGTTTAGGTCGGTGAAGAGGGAATTGTGTATAACTTCTTTTTTACAATAAAATTTTAAGATAATAACTAAACTAGTAAAGTAAATAGTATAGTAGGAAATTTTTTGCAATTAATATGGCTCCAACTAGTAGCCAAAAGAATACTACTGAACACATTAGTATAAGTCACCTCATGACTTCTAATTTTATTCCGATTTAGCTAATTCCGTGCTATTTTAATAACGCACGTTTGTGCTCATCCTCAACGTTGAACTATAATAAAAATTAAAATTACTAAAAATAGCAAATGAATGCTCATTGTGGCACGCGTTGGTATAATAAACAGGCTTTATACATATTTGCTAACATACATATATACGCGGACAGACCGAAAAGTGCTTGAAATTGAGCGATAATGGGATGGAGGTATAGAAGTTATGTTAGTTTCATATCACACTTAGCACTTCTTACCAAGTAAGAGAAAATCTGATGATTTTAAAAAATTCCTGTGGAGAAGGATCGGCTGAGAAATGAGCGTTTACTTTACAATCGCTTGGGCATCCGTTCAAGATAGATACTTTGAATAATACACCTCAGAACACCCGGGAAGCTGGTGTATGTATATACGAGTACCTCATAAGTTCTTCGCCACCATATTTGATTAACTCAGCCGGAAACCGTCGGCAGCCGCCACCTTCCCATTCTTTCAACAGACAATCACCATTCGAACATCGTCATAGTGCGATTCCTTCATCACCTGGGAATATGTGCTCATCAAACCTGCACCACCACTGTCATTTACTAGGCAGGAGAAGTGTTCCCAACAAAACCTCACCATACTCTGTAAATTGGTCTACAGTTTACCTTTTTGATAGCAGTTTTTCATACTCAATCATTTCTGTCCATCTCTAGGGTTATGGATTCGGTTGCGCAGACCAAAATTTAAAGTTATAGCAAAGGCGAGGAACATGATACAAATGCTCTCTCTCATTTTCCTCTTGGAGGCGGTTAAGAATAAATTGCATTTATCTTTATTTGTTGGAAAAACATTCAAGCCCACACTAAAAATGGAAAGGAGCTAGGCCGAGAATCCCTTTAGCGACTATAAGACGCTAATTATGTATATATAAAGATTATTGAAACATTATTGGCTTCTATAATCACATCGTGAGTTCTGCTTTCTCCAGACTTGATAAAGAAGTAAAGCGAATGGGTCTGGTTGTGAACGAGAGCAAGACGAAATATCTCCTGTCATCAAACAAACGGTCATCATGTCATAACTTTAAAGTCATAGATAGTTTTATCTGTCTTGGAACCAGTATTAACAATATCAGCCTAGAAACCAAAGCAGAATAACTCTTTCCAACAGGAGTAAGTAATTTAAAGTAAAGTACTCCCTCGTCGTTCCTATTATGCTATATATTGCGAAGGCATGGACGATGAGAACATCTGATGAGTCTACGAGCTGAGGGCGGCGAAAACCGTAGCAGATGGAACGATGAGCTGTACGAAGTATACGGCGATTTTGACATAGTTCAGCGCATAAAGAAACAGTGGCTATGCTGGTTGGGTCATGTGATCCGGATGGATAACAAAACTACAGTTTTGAAAGTTTTCAATGCATTATCCACCCGTGGAAGCATAGGAAAAGGAAGACCTCCACTTCGTTGGAAAGGCCAGGTACATAAGGACCCGTTTGCGATTGCCATTTACAATTTGCGTCAAACTCAGAAAAGAAGGAAAGAATGTTGATTGAAGTAACGTTGTTAGCTCGGCTATAATCGCGTAAGTGTTGTCTACACAAGTGAAGAAGAAGTATATATAAAGACATGACCAAACGAAATTTCGGGGTGCAATGGGGTGTAGTCACACTTCTTGGTATGCAGTTACAGTCGTGGGGCTATACGAAATCCCTACTATTGTATTCACTTCGCGTAAGGTGGAAACGTGAGCAGCCCTTGTGGGAGAATAAGTCACCCAATTTTCACAGGTCTCTCTTGAGGTCAACTTCTCACCATTAAGCGTCATTCGCCATCACCAGAAAAAGATGGTAATCACTTGGCTCTAGGTCCGGACTATAAGGAGGGTGCATTACGACCTCCCATCCGAGCTCCTGGAGCTGCTGGCGTGTCACCAAAGACGTGTATGGCCTGACGTTGTGCTGGTGGAACACGATTCGGCCTCTGTTGATCAAAGACGTGGCCTCTTCTGGATGAGTGATGCCTTCAAGCGGTCCATTTTTTTGTAGTAAAGGGCCGAATTGAGGGTTTGCCATAGGGGAGCAGCTCGTAGTAGATGATTCCTTGCCAATCCAACCAAGCAAAACCTTCCTGACCGTCTATACGGTTTTGGCACCATCTGGGTGCATCTTTGACATCGAAATTGCCGGAACGGAACCTAACAAACCACTTTTAAGCTACACGTTCGTTTAAAGCACCGGACCCATAAGCTAAATTAATCTTTTTACCCGCTTTGTCTTCGTTTTCGCCTTGATCGAAGAAAAATTTTAAAATATAGCGAATTTTCTCTTTGCTGGTGTCCATTTTTGATGAGCGCTCACAACGCACTGAGTCAACCAATCAAAAAACTATCAAAGACAAACTTTTAACGCGAATAAACACGTTTTCTGCGCCGTAACACTAGTACTGTGAACAATAATGCTATCTCTTAGGTAAAAACCGAACGAACTTTTTACTTGACCTAATATTTGCTTTTAATATAATTATGGGGCTCACGCCACTTTATATACTTTCGGACCAATCCTCGTACATACCTACGTACCTAACACTGAAATCAACGATGCACAATAACCCAGCAATTGCGAACACTTTCCCCGATTATGCAAAAAAAAAAAATAAATAAATAAATACACATAATAAACATAAATTAAAATGAAAATGGTGTAATATATGTCTACATACATATATTTGCAACTTGCAAACCCTGTGTATATTTTTATATATATAATATATGTATTGTATAAAAGCACGATTGTTTAAAAATAACACACGTGTATGCCCTACCAACACTGAGCCCTCCAACTTAGGCTGCCAACGACCCTACCCAATACGTTTTGTCTTTAGCATGTGGCATGTACGAGTACTCGGATATATATATACATATGAATTAATGTTCGTATATTTATTGAGGGTGGCGTTTGTTTTTGTGGGTGGTTACTAAAAATCAATGAACTTTCCGTTTTAACGGCACAACTTCAACAGGTTGGCAATCAGCCTAATTTCCTGTCATGACACCATAAAATTGCGTGAGCATTCAACAAATGCCAAACGTCACATAGAGTCGCTGTATATACATATATATATATATATATATATGTGTATGTATGTATGTGGTGGCGTTACAATAACACAACCGATAGACCGCGAAATAAAAGAAACAGCAACCTACTTTTGCAGTGTCCTTGGCATTTTCTTAACACCAATACTTATATATATTTATATACATAAATATTTGCAATACACATGCAACGACATATCTACAGGATTATACACATACATATACATACATATGCATTTAAAAGTTAAAAAAAAAAAATAAAATACACAACTCCTTTGCAGAACGACCGTTAATAATTCACCATACAAAATTCGACATACGTCAGTGGTTTCTCATTACCAACGTACAGCCGCTGGTCGTTTGGATGTATAAGGATAGCTATTTACGTTTCAGCTCACAGGAGTATAGCTTGAGTAATCATCACGAATCCGTACACCTGACCAATCACGCCATACAGAAGAAATATAATAACGGTAAACGTGATAAACGTTTGCCCATTGAGAATATGTGGGATTGTTATTCATTTCAAGCATATTTGCGTCAAATTGGCAAACAGGATATGTGGCAGGAACGTATTTATCCGGGCATGAAGAAGGCTATTGTGGGTACTATGTTGTCGTCGCAAGAGAATATGGATCGACGTCCGAATACATTTGAATTATTTGGTGCAGATTTTATGATTTGTGAGAATTTCTATCCATGGTTAATCGAGATCAATTCAAGTCCAGATTTGGGTGCAACAACAAGTGTGACGGCGCGTATGTGCCCACAGTGTCTGGAGGATGTGATAAAAGGTGAGATAGTAGAGGGAAATGTAAAGTTATTATTGGTAACGGCAAAGTTAATCATATAATTATTATAGTATTCGGTATTTGGTATTTAACATTCGGTATTTGGTATTCGGATTTTCCATATTCTTATTTGGTATTTTGATGTTTTGTTTTTCGGTATTTTTTTTAATCATTTATTATTTATTTTATATTTGTTACTAAGTATTTATTACATGGTGTTTGATTTGTGATATTTGGTATTTAATATTAGGATATTTCGTACTTGATATTTGGTAGTGGATACTTAGTAATTTGTAGTTGGTGTTGTTAATTGGTATCGGTATTTGATTTTTATTTTGGTATCCGGTGTTTTTTCTTGTGTAACGGCAAAGTTAATTTTATTATTGTTATTCGGTATTTGGTATTTGGTATTTGACATTTGGTATTTACTGTTTGGTTTTTTCATATAAGGCATTTGGTATTTTGATGTTTCAAGTTTCAGTATTTTTTATTTCTTGTTTATTTATTTATTATTTATTTTGTATTTGGTACTAAGTATTTATTACTTGGTATTTGGTTTGTGATATTTGGTATCTAATAATTGGATTTTTGGCATCAAATATTTGGGTATTTCCTATTTGATATTTGGTATTTGGTTGTGAATAACTTAGTAATTTGTAGTTGGTATTAGTAATTGGAATCGCTAATGGGTATTGGTAATTGGTATTTTTACTTGGTAATTGGTATTCGGCATTTGGCATTTAAGATTCGGTATTTGGTATTCGGTTTTTTTATGAACAATATTTGGTATTTAGATGTTTCAAGTTTTAGTATTTTTTATTTTTTATATATTTTATTATTTATTTTGTATTTGGTACTAAGTATTTATTACTTGGTATTTGGTTTGTGATATTTTTTATCTAATAACTGGATTTTTGGCATCAAATATTTGGGTATTTCCTATTTGTTATTTGGTATTTGGTAGTGAATAACTTAGTAATTTGTAGTTGGTATTAGTAGTTGGAATCGCTAATTGGTATTGGTAACTGGTATTTTTACTTGGTAATTGGTATTCGGCATTTGGCATTTAAGATTCGGTATTTGGTATTCGGTTTTTTTATGAACAATATTTGGAATTTTGATGTTTCTAGTTTCAGTATTTTTTATTTCTTATTTATTTTATTATTTATTTTATTATTTATTTTGTATTTGGTACTAAGTATTCATTACTTGGTATTTGGTTTGTGATATTTGGTATCTAATACTTGGATTTTTGGTACCAAATATTTGGATATTTCCTATATGATATTTTTTATTTGGTAGTGAATAACTTAGTAAATTGTAGTTGGTATTAGTAATTGGAATCGCTAATGATTATTGGTAATTGGTATTTTTACTTGGTAATTGGTATTCGGCATTTGGCATTTAAGATTCGGTATTTGGTATTCGGTTTTTTTATGAACAATATTTGGTATTTTGATGCTTCTAGATTCAGTATTTTTTATTTTTTATTTATTTTATTATTTATTTTGTATTTGGTACTAAGTATTCATTACTTGGTATTTGGTTTGTGATATTTGGTATCTAATACTTGGATTTTCGGTATCAAATATTGGGGTATTTCCTATTTGATATTTGGTATTTGGTAGGTAATTTGTAGTTGGTATTAGTAATTGGAATCGTTAATTGGTATTGGTAATTGGTATTTTTACTTGGTAATTGGTATTCGGCATTTGGCATTTGTTTATTTATTTACTATTTATTTTTTTGGTATTGTTAATTGGTATCCGGCATTTATTTTTGCTGTGTATTTTGCTGTGTATTTGGTTTGATATTTACTATTTGCTATCTTGTATTTGGAACTTGATATTAAGTATTGTAATATGTGTTTGTCTTTTGGTTATTTATTATTTAGTATTTGATTTTTCATATTATATATTTGGTACAAAATTGTATATTTGTATTTGTGGTAAACTATTTGCATTTGGTACTTAATGTTAGGTATTTGATATTTGGTACTTGGTAATCGGTTTTTGGTATTTGATTTTCGGTATTTGCGTTTCGTTCTTTTTTATTTGTTTTTTTATTTATTTATTTATTTATTGTTAATTTGGTATTTGGTACATTGTATTTACTATGAGGTATTTGATATTTAATAATTAATTTTTTTGTATTTCGTATTTGGTACTTGGCATTTAGTATTTTTTAATTCGTACCTGCTACTTGGCTTTCAATACGAGTATTTGGTACTTGCTATGTGGTATTTGCTATTTGATATTTTTTTTATTTGGTATTCAGCATTTGGTAGCTGATAATTTGTATTTCGATATTTAGTATTTTTGATATTTAGTATTGAGTACTTAGTACTTACTATTCACATTGGGTATTAGGTACTTGTAGTATTTGTAGCATTTATGTATTTTGATATTTAGTGTTCTGCATTTGGAATTTACAACTTGTATTCGGTATTTGGTACTCGGTTTTGTTATCTATCTCTGTACCAATATTGGTATTTTTGCTCTCTCTCTCTCCTTATCTTTTTCTTTCTTTTTCTCTCTCTCTCTCTCTTTTCCTTTTTTCATCTCTTCCTCTCTCTCTCCCCCTCCGTTTTTGCCTTTCTCTTCTACTCTAACGCAGTTGTCGTTGATCGCCGCTTGGATCCCAAAGCCGACATGGGTAATTTCGAGTTAATCTATCGTCAAGTTGTCCCACCAACACCAGCTTACATGGGGCTCAACCTCTTCGTAAAGGGCAAACAAATTGTTACCAAGCCGCCACATCATCATCATCACCATCATCATAATCATTCGAATAATCTACGCGACCGCCTACCACTCAGCGGTCACAATTACCGACATCGCATCACCATAACGCCAGCCATATCGAATGTCCATAAGGCAATGCCGACCTTTAACGCAACCGAATATGTAGAGAAATATATTATGGAGGCAGGTAATAGCAGCCGCAGCAGCCTAAGTGGCGGCATTACAGCTTCTGGTGCCGTTATACACACCTCACCGACACCTATGCAAATGGTACAGAGCGCACGACGTAAATATCATACAACTCCCCAAGCGCCCATAATGATCTGTCCGAATTTGTTGAAAACGCCACGCGCTCCCGTCGGCACGCGGCGTAAATCCTTTACAAATTTCACTAGCAAGGCAAGTACAATGCCTAATGTAGTGGCGGCAAAGAACACGGAGACGATGATACCGCTGATCAAACGTCATCGGAGTTGTGGCCCACGTCTCAACAGTGGCATTAATAACGCGAGCGCCACAACAATTGAAGGTGATAAAAATTTCAAATTTATCATTAAGAAATGCGCCATTCCAACGTCAGGCGAGGGCAAAAACCCTCTAACGGTGTCAGTCAACCAAGAAGTGTCAAATGAAAGTGTACACGCGCACGCGATCAAAAGTAAAAGCGTCGATAATATTGTCGAATTGTTGCGCAGGTTCAAAGGTCAGCAGTCGGCATTGTCGCTCCAACAGCAACAGGGCCTAACACAATCTACACAAGCGGCACGCAGTCAAAGTGTTGCCAATGAACTGCATGTCGCCGCAAGCGAAAAATCAATCAAGTCCTTGTTGCCAAAACAAACGAAATTGAATACTACGGACGCGTCTCAGGTAAAAGCCGCGAACTCCGCCAATATACGTACAGTTGGACGCAGTCTTGCGACTTGGCGTCGCTCCAGGCGTCACAGCGGCAGATGTACGACAACCGCTAGTGGTAGAAAATCCACTAGCAGCGTTTATGTTTGCAAGAAAACACCAATGACTATGTTGACCGTTACACCTACGACAGCAGCAGCAACAGCGGCAGCGATCTCAAGTGTCGGCGAACGTTCTCGCAGCTCATCTGCTATTCAATGTGCTGGCGTTACAGCTTCCCTACAAACTGCCACAGCAAAAGTCTAGAGGAATGCATATCATATACGAGTATTTATTAGAATTACAAATTTTAGTTATGTTAACATATTTAAAAAATTTTATTGTTGTTCCACTTAGTTAATTTGTTCTTAATTGTTATAAAATGGCAGACGTGTCCTACTAAACTATTGAACATTAGAAAATGTACTGTGAACATTTCGTTTTCTTCATCTTCTTCTTCTACTTCTTCTTACTTGGGTGCGGTGTAGCGTAGGGCAAGCGCTTCTTTAGCAGCGGATCTGAGGATTTTCGGTTCAGTTACGCCGCTCTCCATGAGGGCTTTAGTTTTCTGAAAGAGACGGAGGGGAATATAAGATTTAGAGATTGGGTTTTCAATTTCAGAAGAAGTGACTTTATGTAGACTTAAATAGGATTGAGTCTAATACTCTTGAAAAAACTAGGTTTTGCCAGTAATGCGGAACACAGGCTTCTGCTTGATCGAGGAATAAATAAAGCGTCAGTACATCACAACGGCATGATCTTGCCAGCTGAGCCACTTCCTGTTAACTAAGATGAACTAATCAATGTCGCCGTTTCTACACACCGTCGTTGCACGGTCAATAAAATTTTCTCACAAGTCTATTTCAAGATTTGGAGAACGAGGCGATGATCAACAATGGTGGATTTGTCAGATTTAGATCCAGGGAGGCCCCACAATCTTCGACAATTAAGGAATAAGCCTCATTAATATCGCACATAAGGTTCTATTGCATGTTGTATCCACAAACCGATTTAACCTTATCACTGTGGCTCTATATCTTGTTAATGCCTACTTTGATCAGACTATGACCATGCGCCATATCTTGGAAAAAATCCGTTAAGAGAGGTTAGACACATACAGCCTCTTTGTCGATTTGAAAACAGCCTTCGACAAAACGAAAGGAGCTATCACTACGCGGAAACGTCTGAGTTAGAATTTCACATCAAATTTATGCGGCTCCCTAAACGGACATTAATTAACACCAAAAGCTGTGTCAGGCTCTGGAAGCACTTTTTCGAACCGTTCGATACCGACCGAGATTTCGGACCAGGTGACTACTTCTGGAGAAACTGGGGGACGAGCTGCAATCTTCTGTAAGAATGAACAACTGTTGGCGGTCGTACGCCGATGATAGTGATAAATACCAACAACTATTTCAGCATTGACAGCCATCACAGAATCGCTCGTTCAAATATGGACTACTTTGGACTGAGTAGGCAATTGAAAAATGAAGAACAAACACCAAACACTCAAAATCAATCTCGTCCTGCTATATGGGGCATAAGCATTGACGATGACAACATATGATGAGTCGACCGAAGAAGAAACGACTTGCGTACTGTTGTTAATCGCGTAAGAACTAATCAGTTCTTCATGAAATACTGTATCAAAATCGATCGTGTATCTAAAATCATCAATTTTGTACTATGAAATCATTTTTTGTGTCTTCTTTCCAGTTCGTTTCTTTCTGGTTCACATTCTTCCATCACACTCACCTGTGCAGCCGGTCCTCTTAAACGCTTCAACGGCAGTTTAATTGTATGTTCAGTTTTTTTAATAAATTTAGTCGGTACACGCATGAGTTTCTTTTGCGGCGGTGCAGTCTGTTTGAATAATGTCATCGCCTTGCCACAAATATCCAGACCAACTTCGGGATCGAAATCTCTTTTGATCTTATAGTTCACCTCATAGATACGTTCAAAATTGCCTGTGGGTGCAAGTGGATTACGCGGCAAATCGACAATCACTTTTACCAAATCCTTCAGTGCCAAAGGACAAATGCGTGCCGTGACTTCGGTGGATGGTGAAAGATCGGGCGTTGAATTGATTTCAATCAAAATGGGATTGTATTGTTCGTCTAACATTAAATCACAACCATACAATTCGAACGAATTTTCAACAAAATCAGTCTCTTCCAAACTGGCCATTACAACTGCGGTAAGATTTTCCTTGAAACCCGGGTAAATACGTTCGTCCCATATGTTGTCGGGTGCATTCGAATGTTTCAAATAGATTTTAAATTGTTCCAATGACCACATATTATTCTTGGGCAAACGTACATCACGATTTGGTTTGTTCTTATAACGTTTCTGTACGGAATTGTTCGTTAAATGTATGGATTCGCGTAGATCATCTATGGTGAACTCTTGCGAGCTGAAGCGCAAATAACAGTCCTTATATAACCATATTGTTAGTATACAATCGCTGATGGAGAGCAGCATATATTGCCGTATATCGAATTTGGTTTTGTGTATTAGGAGTGGACGTTCTGTGGAGTATAAGAAATAAATTTTGTCATTAGAAATCAATTAAAATTAAAAATTGAATCTGAAAAGCCTATGGAGCTCCACGAGAGGAATGTGAGCCTACACTACGCGAACTATGATAATCTCAAGGTCCACAAGATGAGAAAATATTAGAAAATATCATTTCCTAGCGATTATCCTAAAACCCGGCACGACGAGCATTGCCGTGCCGCAAGGGAGGCAAAACCTCCCAACGTTAAAATACAAAATTCTACGCAAAGATGCGAAAACTGACAGAACATTTCAAGGCTGGAGCAATCTCTGATGCTCAGAGTATACAGAATTTTAGAAGCAGTTAAAATGGAACACCAGGAGATGGCGAACCCGATTCCCCATTCGATGAAGATGGAACAGATATTTCGACTAGGAAAAAGTTCGATTAGCAATTGACTGCTGGAAAAAAACCAAAGTGGTGCGTGCTATGGATGGCCGGCCGAGCTATTCAAATATGGCAGCAAAGAACTGACAACGTACATGCATTAACTTCTATGCAAAAAATAGTCCGATGCTAGCATGCCCGATCCATAAAATGGTGCGCCCCACAGCTTACCCTAATTACTGTGGGATAAGCCTCCTAAATACAACCAAAATGGCCCAATTGAAAATGTGATAGACTAAAGCCCACCGCGAATAAACTGATTTCGGCCTAGTGCCGCGAGTTTTGCTTTCTGCAGACTTGAGAACGCAACGAAACGTATGTGTCTGGTAGTGAACAGTCACAAGACGGAATATCTCAACATTATGAGTTTTTGGAAACGGCGAATACTCAGTCGATGGAACAATGAACTGTATGATATATTTGGAGACCGTGGAATAATTCAGCGAATCAAGAGACAGTGGCTACACTAGCTAGATCACGTTGTCAAGATGGATGAGAATGCTCCAGCTTTAAAAGTATCTGATGAAATACCCACTGGAGTGTGCAGAGGCAGAGAAAGATCTGCACCCCGTGCAAAGAAGAAATAAATGACGCGCTGTTATTAACTCGGCGGTATCTACAACACTAAGAAAAAATAAGCCTAAGGCAAACGTAGTAACTGAGTGATTAGCATTGCGTTCTACCATAGGGTGGGTCATGGGTTAGAACCCTGGCCAGACCAACATCCAAAATTATAGAAAATTTATTTTTCGCCCTTCGACTGAGAATGTTAGCCTCTTCAAGCGTGAGATAAAAGCACCTTGCGGATTAATGAATGCCGCTCCAAGGATTATAAAGAGCCAAATTACATACACAACAACATACATATATTAGTCAAAAACTCCTGACAGAAGATTTCAACTCCAAGCATTCTGCAAAGCTTTTTACTCTCTGTGAAAAGGTTAATAGCCGGGGAGTCCAGTCGAAAGGCTGAAATTGTTTGGAAGCAAAGATTTATTATATCTAGCCCTCCAGGCTCCAATAATAGCAATACTGCTAACATTATATATATACTGCTATTTTGACAGAGCATCGAAGGGTTAGCCGCCTACGAACGTATACGAACGTCCCCATCGAGGGCAGTTATGCCAATGTTATTCTGTACTCATCGTGAGTATTGGATTTTACTAGAGCTACTTTATTTTAGAAGAGACTTCATCATCTTTAGCTCAATCAAGTCTTTACCCAAATGATGTGATCATACCAGTATGCAGAGCTCTTCGCAATCGAAATACCTGTTACGTATTCCAGAAGGTGGCAGATGTAGATGCTCCCTACCAGGGTCATCAAAGTTCGACAGACATGCTATGTCGACAGGTTTGGAGCACAGGGTTTTAAGATGAGTCGCATTGAAGAGATATACAAAAAGATGATTGGTATGCATACAGGACCTTGGGCATGTCTGATTGAAGCTTTAATAGATGGATGTTTAACGCGCCTCAAACTTCATAAAATGCTTCAAATATACACCGTAAGTAAATCAGTTACAGGAATCCCATCTTCGTGGCATTCACTAAAATCGAAAATACGATGAATCCAGTATTAGGAATGATTTAGAGCGTGATCCCTGGTATATTTATGAGTGGTTCTGCCGGGAAATGAGCTCTTTGGGAAGTTTTTTTTTTGTGAGGAAAAGGAAAGCTTTGTTTGGGAAAGTAACAAATACTCGATCTTAGCTTAGCCTGTAAAGCTTTTAAGTCAACGAGAAAGCAAAATTTGGCTTCACCGAGGATCTTGAAATACTAAATGCCAACTCGCTTTATTTTTAGCTGCTTTTCAATTTATCCAGCACTTCTCAAACGGCCTAAAACCCAACAGAAATGTATAATTGGCGCTTTGTAACCGCTGAAGCGATTTTTTGACCGAGCTCGTCCTCCACTTTGGAACTTTGCGTATTAATGTTGTTCAAATAAATGGAGGGACCTACAGTTTATACTAAGCCGCCTCCAAACGGCTGATGGTTTTTTGACGAGGAGCTTTATTTCATGTCAGAAATACACTCGGAGGGGTTGACATTCCCTGTCGAGGGGCGACCGCAATTAGAAAATTTAACTCAATTTATTATTTAAACTAATTTTCTATAAGTTTTTGGATGTCGGGGATTTGAACCCGAGTCTTCCGAATGTCAGCACGCCACGCTATCCAATCGGCTACTTGGCCCTGCTAAGACTGCACTTTAGAGACAATATAATAATGTTTTGCTGCGTAAGCGGCTAGGTAATCCCGCATCGAAGCAGGCAAAACCAGTCCATACTCGTGAAATCAGCTAACGGTGGTGATTCTTCGGGCTGGGAATAGGAAAAGGAATGCCAGATGAGTAGGTTTATATGTAGATATAGTTATCGTGCGGATACTCCTTGCTTACAGTACATATTGGAGTCGAGTCTACAATGTAAGTGTTGAGTCTACGACAGTACTCAGATTTTAGTTATGCCACTAAAACTTAACTCTCTTCATCTGATTTTGGATACTGGTTGGATTGATTTACCGAAGCTGACCAAGATTTCATCCGGCCGAGTAGTCAACAGGTAAATTTCACACACTTTTTCCATGATTTCCTTTTACTCTTGACTATTTTCAAGACTACTCACCCAAATACTTTTGTGCTATATATCTCCGTTGTGGAAAATTGGTTGCGTATTGCCATATCTCGTCGATAGAGCTGCGTATGATGATGCCTAAACCGCGACACTGATAACCCGGTTTGAGTATCCACAAGTTACGGCAACCATCCCACTTGTAGTCTCTACGCCGTTCTTCCAATTTGGTCAGATAAATACGACTCAATTTCGACACCTCCTCCAACAACGGCACAGTAACTTTAATTTTTGCATTATTTTTAATAACTCGATTTGAATCCATTATAAAGTCTTGCCACTCAATATTTTCACTTTCCTTACTCTTTTCACACTCCTCATCCAATGTACGATGTTCGAACTCATCGAAATGTTTTTTTAAATTCGTCACCGCGAAGTGTACCACAGAAATCGGTATAGTGCCTTCTTCCGGATCGGCTAGTTCCGGCAGACGTTGTATATTCTCCAATATATACTTGAGTAAACTGCGACACTGAGTTTGACGGAAATCCTCTATGAATGCCATACGCTCTTCCGAACCGCCGCCAAGTCGATAAAAGCGCGGATGACTCATGCCACAGACACCTCTTTCATGAAACCACTGATGCTGCTCGGCGCAACCAATCAAACCAACTTTGGTGGAAAAGTCCAAATTGCGACCGCGGCGTACACGATTACGCAAAGGCAAAACATCCGAATGATAATCGCGTTGTGCTTTTGGCTGCCAAATGAAAAACGCCGGAAAGTGACTGATAATTTTGGAGATAGCTACTGCTTCGTAATCATTGCCGCGTTTGGCATGCTGCAGCAGCACCTCTTCGGGCAAACTTTGCAATTTTGGATAACGATTTGGCGCCAACTTTTCCAACCAACCACGGTTCAGCAGCGCACGTCGTATGGTATGGTAATTACCGTAAACTGTGAATATACGTCTATTGCGGAAGGCATCGATCACACGAGACCGATACATGCTCGATAGTGTGCGGGTTTGAGCAGCGCTTATTGGTTGGCCATCACTTAAGATCGCCATACTCTTCTGTGGTTCCGGTTTTGCTTTATATTTTGTTCCGCTACTGCTGTGACCAAGAATATAGCCGATGCTGGGATTGACAGGATTTAAGACGTTAACTTTCGAGACGGCGCAACGGTGCGAGAGTGCTGCCAATTCGGCGTCTAGAGTTTGGATTAACGAACGGATTTTATAGACTGGATTGTAGTACTGGTTTCTATAATTTGGCCAAGAGGTTGAGGAACGTTGCATTCTGTTTACAACGAATTTTGAAGCAGAAGCCGAATATTTTTTTTGTCGTAAATTTCCTATAATTTTTGAATGAAGTTTGAGGAGTCATTTGAATGAAGTCTTAAACATTTCAAATCATTTAATTTATATTTTTAAAAATGGAGCTTTTAGGAATTCCTCATACATATACCCGTATACATAATTTACGGTAATTATTTGAACGGTTATAGAACTTCAAGAAACTGTCAGAGAAAGTGATTAAGTAGCAATCAGATCCGATTCTTCTGAGGTGAGGAGCATGATTGGACATCGATTTTTTTTTTGGTTATCTTACATGCAGAGCTTAACACTATGGCAGACCACTACAACTAGTAAAATTCTCGGCTACACTGAATGAAGGAGTACCGTCTCAAACTGTATGTGTAAGTCTATGACGTAAAAATTCCGACAGTTAATAGTACCAAGTTACTGGGCGTCACACTCGAGAGCCTGCAACAAAATTCACACATCGCTAGCCGGCAGCACCGGAGACAAAGGCAAAGATCACTGCGGATTAGAGGTTCAAAAATTTTTCTGCGCTAAGCTATGCATGTCGTAAAAGGTGACTAAAAAGTTCCCGCGGCAGTCGGGTCTTTATACCGGAACTACCCGGATTTATACTTTGTAAGCAATATTTGCTGAGATGCTACAGTCAGGATCATCTTAACAGATATCTACAGCAAACTGAATTACATCAGCACTGGAGTAAGGAAGTTATTGGCCCGAAAAACTCCGCAGGGCAGAACTCATCGAACACAGCCGTCGAAACAGTCTGTTTTCTGAAGCTACCGTTAGATGACCTCGATGGATTAGACTGATTGTTGACTGTTGTTAAGCGAGTAGGGTTAGTTATTTTTTGTTCCAAAATAGTACAATAAATACAGGGAGGGCCAAAACTAGGACAACCTGGTGCAATTAGCGAACCTCCTAAAAAATTTCTACCTGCTCCATGTACCGAAAAATACCTTCGATACCTAAAATGAGGCCTAAGCGCTGAGTCCCACAGAACCCGATCAGAGGTTCAGACGAACCTACGGTCAAATGTTAAAATCCTTCTCTTCAATAAATCGAAAACCAACAATCCAGCCTATAGAAAAAATATGGCAACGAAGTCAGCTGCTTCTCGCAACAAACAAATTTTCTAATGGCTTAGCCACAACTATGCCGAAGTCGTAAAATCTGGAATAGCAACGGTTCTTTCTAAGGACTTTCCAAAGTAGTTTAGCGCGGAACTATCAGTAACCGACTGTAAAGATGCGAACACAGCCGAAAAGCTGACTAAAGTAATATCAACTCCCACGACAGCGGGACCCGGATTTCATCCGTCCAAGTACTGTCACTCTTTCGTGACCTAACCCCGCTTTGGTCAAAAGGTAATTAATGTTATACCAAAGCTAGGTGGGTGATCAGGTGACAACGAGAATCAATCCCTCTTAGGAAAATAGATAAGAGACATAAGTACGCTCTAGGTTTACTTCAAGCACAAAATGCATCACTCAAAACAGCTCATTGTCGTAGGCGTTGAATAAGAGAGTTGTAGTTGTTATTGTTGTTAGTGTAGCAGTTTGCTAACGCCGCTTACCAACAGAAAAGATATGTGTACATCTAGATGGTCTGGCGACATCGGTAGGTTTCCTGTCACAGTCCTGAGGGCAGTATTTTGGCAGTCTTGTAGCAGATCGGAACAGTTGGAGTTGGAGTTTTGTGATAATTGCAGTTGTATGCGTAGTCGGGAGCAGCAAAGTCTCAAGAGTTTTTATTGTTGTTGTGGTAGCGGTTCTCCAACCTCGCTTAAGAACAGGCCAGAAAGTCTAAGTCATCGAGGTCTTCTAACGCGAAGTCCCGGAAACGAGCTGTTTCGCAGGTTTGGACCAGAAGGAGAAGAAGGCTAAATGAGATGGTTTTAGGGTCGAGTCTGGGTAGGTATGAGGGTAAGGGTGCTGAGGACACTGGCGTAGAGGCTTGCGGCGCGTTGATCTTAAGATCACTGCAGCCATGGCTCTAGCCGCATCAAACGAAATGGAGGAACGGTGGAATATTTTATGTGAAGAGAAGGATTTAGAGCAGCTCTGCTGCGTGGCGCTGCTCCGTTGATCAGCTTAGTCTTATGTTTCCTGCTGACCTAAACGATGAAAGGCGACAGCCCTTGGTATCATGAGAGGAGAGCCAATAAATTATGGAACGATTGCATTCGGTGTATGTGCTTACCTAGTGGTCTAAGTTTGGGGATACGGCATGCATTACGCGGGCATTCTGTAAAATGCATCCTCCGTTCTTCCCTACCCATCCCTATAGCATCCCGCAACCAGAGCAAAGTCACTTGGGTGGGCTAAAGTTACTCCAGCACCTAGCGACTGGTGCACCCAAAAAACTTTTTTTGTTTATATGCAGTTTTCCCGTTTGTCTAAGTGAGCGAGGGTCATTGCACTTGGTTTTGTCTCTTCAATGCCTATAGTTGTGTTTTTGTGCGTAGCTAGCGACCAACACCAACACCAACTCCGCTAAGCCGGCCAGTCACTTTCTCAGATATTTTTGTCACTTCTCTTTTAAGCGGTAGTTTGCTTTGTTGACGTGTGTAGTTGTTGGTAGGTTTTAAACTACAACTACATGCAAGTATGCATATAGACTTACATACATACATGCTGTATACAAAAGTGGATGTAACACGATTCCCATGCCCATTACCGAATGAAGCTTCCAACTGGTCATCGCGCCTCGTCGGGTTTGACCAGAGCTTGGTTATCCTAGAGGAGAGGTTACAGGATCTTAAGTGCTCCTCTGGGGAATGCATATATTAGATATTTCAAACTTAACATCGCCTCATCGGACTTGGCTAATTTTGTTTCTTGGTTTTTCCCTCGAGTCTCTTACAGTTAAATTGGAGTAGTTTTATGTCTCGGGGGAACTTCCATAATAAGAATGAGCTGCTCACACTCTGTATTTAACCAGATATCATATTTTCAGAGTGGAGATTCCCAGACCTAGCCGATACAAACTTGTGTGTTTTAATGGGGAGAACACTTTGAATGATTAAGATTTGATTTTCATAACCTATTGATTCATCATCTTGCTTTCAGGTATTTCAAATTCAATCATTGCGAATGCACCAGACTATAACAACAGTAAATAATAATAAAGACCTCCGGCGACCTTCCGTGTACAACCCAAGTGGTAAAAAAAAATGTAGGCATTCACTTGTTAGAACTTGCAGAATAATGAATCTCCAGCCAAATCAAAATATATCAATGTAAAGGCGAATATTAGAAAGCAGAACCAGAAAACATAACATTTTAAGAACCACCTAAATGACCATACCCATATCCATATTTAATAATTCCAGTGTTAAGTAAAACAACCATTGTTGAGTCACATAAAAATAAAATTAATTAAAATAAAGTAAAAAAGTCTGAAGTACATTGAAATTAATCGCTTACACAAATAATAAATTGCGTTCCGATTAACTTAATTACTACTTCTCATGTGCCTCAAGTTTATACTACGAAAAATATATATATGATACGTTTTATATTGTTGTAATTATGTAATTATCTTTTATTCTTTTTATATAATTTCTTCTTGCTTTCCCTTCATCTTCTTGAATGTGCCGCTACATCGACAAACATACACTAAACTCCATCCAGCGCTTACAATTTATCGAGGTATTGGGCCAAGTCGGGTAGACCTTCCTTCAGACCCTTACGTTTACGTGTATCTTGAACAATCTGGTATGGTTTGCTGCTGAGTTCCATTGGGTCACCGGGCAACACTTGCCAATGATCGAACACGCACTGTGGGAAGGCTTGACCACCAGTGTTGGAACGCAAATCGGCAGTGAAACCGAACGATTCATTTACTGGCAAGTAGGCCTTAACGACGAACATAGGTGTGCCGACAACTTGAGCTTCTTCGAATACGTGACCACGACGTCTGTTCAATACACCGTAGATACCACCGACAGCAACTTCAGGACATTGAATCTCACACAAGTAAACGGGTTCCATCAAACGTGGTCCAGCGGTAATAGCTGAGGCGTACAAACAGCGACGAGTTGTAGGAATGATTTGGCCACCACCACGATGGATAGCATCAGCATGCAACGTTACATCATAGATGTTGAAACGGACACCACGCATGTTCTCTTCAGCCATGATACCTTCCTTGGAGGCCCATTGGAAACCAGCAACAACGGAATCCTTAATTTCGTTCAAGTATTGCACGGATTTGGTGCAATCCAAAACGAAGTTGGGACCAGTACCATCAGGACCGAAACACCAGATCTTACGGGCTTCAGTCACATCATAATCGTATTTCTCAGCCAAGTAACGAGCACGAAGTTTGAAATCGTCCTTGGAGCTGACTTCACCATTGTCAATATCCTCAGGCAAACCATCAGGCATGGGCAATGCCTTCATCATCAAACGGTTGTGCTTGTTGGGCGATTTGGACAAACACATTTGGTTGGATTCTTCAAAAACGGTTTCACGGTATGATACAACGGGATCGGACTTCTTCAATGGAATGCAAGCGTGATCTTCTTCCAAATCCTTCAAGCAAATTTCCAAATGCAATTCACCGGCACCAGCAATGATGTGCTCGCCAGATTCTTCGATGATACATTGCACCATAGGATCGGATTTGGCCAAACGCTTAAGACCTTCAACCAATTTTGGCAAATCAGCAGGGTTCTTAGGCTCAACAGCAACACGCACGACAGGCGATACAGAGAATTTCATCACCTAAGAGTCACAAATAAAAAATATATAGCATTTAATAAATATGCCAATTTTTTTGAACTGAAAAAATTTTAAGGTAAAAGTTCAGGAGACAAATATCATACATAATTTTTCAGAACAGGTCTGTGTACTGAATCATCATTAGAAAACGGGTAACAAACTAAATTATTATTTTTAATTTGTGAAAAACTCACCTTCATGTTGTGGGCATCCTTGAATGTGGTGATGGTACCGGTCTTGACCAAGAATTGATCGACACCGACAAGACCGCAAATGTTACCGGAAGGCACATCTTCGATGGCTTCAACATAACGACCCATCATCAAAATAGTACGCTGG